CAGAGTCAAGATTATCTATCAATGCGTAATGATAAAAAGCAGCCAATTTTACTGGCTGCGAAGAACTATGCTATCCTCCGAATTGCTTTAATGAAAAGCATTCTTCGCAGTCCTTCACTTGAAAAGATATTTCCAGAGATATGTTTATTATCGCGCCCTTGAAGAGTGCAACATGCAGTCACCGTGAACATTACTCTTTGGGCCGGTTGCTTCTGCAAAGAACGTCGAGTGTCATTTATTTCGTCTGGGGAACCAAATCTATTGTAAAATTGAATGAGACAATTTTTTGAGCTTATTTAGCAGCGATTTTTGCCCCCTGACAAAGTATGGAAATTTGCCTGTTACTCACCCAGAAATGAATCTAATTTTCAAACAGAAAATTGCAGTAACGCCAAATATATCTAGACGCTAGCGGCATGGCTATTGAAATTTCGTTAAAGTTTGAAACCAGCCCACCCATAGGTGTTTCCATGCAGTTTTACCAGTATTGTATAGGTGTTTTAAAATTCTTTTCTCCTTCAAGATCACCAAAAATGTAAGGGAATTTGATAAACAACGAAAAGACCAGAAACAATAGCCTCCATTTAGCGCGAAAATATGACAAAGATACGAGGATATCATTTTCGCGCCAAATGGAGGCTATTGTGTTCATTATCCTTCAAATTTGTTTTTGCAATGCGGGGTAAAAATGTTAAGAAACAGCTCACTGTTTGCTGCGTGTGATGTTTACTTTTCAGTTTTCTTTAGTAAGACTTTATGAACAAATAAACATTTCCCCTTCTTCTGTCACAATAGAGGCTCTTTTATCTTTTTTACGGACGCAGCGCGAGAAATTTCCCGCCTTTTTTCATAAAATAAAAAATTCTTCCTCCTTTTTCTCTACGATGTTGCATAATTTTTCCCACCCTTTAATTAGATTTGTTTCAGGATTTTGTACAGTCTTCTATTTTAATCGCCTGCAGTATATTCTGTTATATATAGAAAATAATGACGTGGACTTGTCAAAATGATCGGAATTAAACTGACAGGGAAATGCTAGTGTTGTCATCTAATGTTGCTGTTATTTCTGCTCTAAGTTAATATTTTCAATCCCTTGTTTAATTTCCTGTTATTTGTGATTGGTCTTCTGTTTTTGTTGCATTATGAGGTTTTGATTTTGATTTTAAATGTTTCAGATATTACCACATATTTATTGACTCACCTGAGTTGTCGCTGTGCGTATATGGGTAAAGATGTCGCATCCTGCTCCCTGAATCTGATGATCAACAAAGAACCGCTTTAATAAACAACTGGTTTATGCTTTTGAGTTAAGTGTAACTGCGTGGGCCGAGTTGTTTGAAACCTTGATGATCGGAGCAATTTGCAACCGGGTATATAAATTTATCGTAGATTTTATTAGTTTTGCTTCACTTCAGTTTGTGATTGGTTTAGAAAACTTGCGCTTACCTACACCAATCAGAAGTAAAACTTAAACCAATCACCGCACTCGCGTTTTCCCGCGTTTATAAACTCCAGCCGCTCTCTCAACCAATCAAATTCAAAACTGAAACCAATCACGACATGGCTACCGCATTTTCACGCGCTTTTGGCAGTTTCCACGATTTCACTTCGAGATCTCATTGGCTCCATGTGATAATTAATTTTGATCTTATTAACAGTTAAGATAACGTTAGGCTTCAGTCTCTGATATTGATCTTTAAATACTGATTGACTTGAAGCCTTGTGTTCGCTAACTTTATCGTGCTTGTGTTTTCGTAGAATGCGGCTGTTTACCTCTGACTAGGGAGTACTGAAACAAGCGCCGTATCTGATAAATCAAAGCAACCTTAGTCCCACTCTATAGGTATGTACTGCAATTAAAACTCATCCTCAGACCTTATGGATATCTTGGATCTCAAAATCATGAAAACCGGGAGGCCCCGAGGCAAGCTTTTTCGTCAGATAGTTGCTTTCACTCCTCCTTTCAACGTTCACGTCATTTAAGATAGTATTAAATATAGCGGGCGAGCATTTTACAACAACAATTCATGTTTACCCGAGAGATCTTTGCGTGTAATGATCGTCTAACTGATTTTAAGAGTCAAGATGTGCGTTGCTTCTTTAAAAATCGATCCCAGAGTCAACTAATACTTAACATTTGTTTTCCCTCTCGTTTTTTCCTTAAATATTTTAATCTGAATCCAAATGTTCTGAAGTAATTATTTAGATTATTCATTTTAGCTCGATGATTACATCTGAGTCTTTGAACATTTTGAGATGAATTATTTAAGATAAGCAAAGAGAGCTAATTTTTCTCCAACTGAAGATGACCTAAAGGTGTCATTAATCAAAATTGACAAAGTAGGTCGAATAACAATATAATGATCTCTCGAAAACGAGCTATTATGAAAACGCTTGTTCATAAGTAGTCAAATTTGGCCTACTGGAAAAATTTTTTTATCAAACAGACGCTTGCAGTCCTAGTTATTTACGTAAACAAAGGGAATAACATGATGCGGTTGTTGTTATGGTTTACTAATCATACGTTTTTATCGCAGAGACGTACATTCATTGATATCAGTGAAAATTTAAACCACAGGAAAATCTTATCTTTTTCATGAATTAGGCTCGTCGCAATGTGACGAGAGTTTTCAAGGACCGTAAAACAAGATTTTACTGAGCCATAAAATAATGATCTCCAGAAACAAAACGTTATGGAACCGATAAAATATTTATTTTGGCGGCCGTGCAGACCATTCAGTGATCTTTCTCAGGTAAATATGTATCACCCCAGTAAGCATATAGCGCTACATAATTGATATTCTGAAGGTAAACTATCACGAATTTTTTTTAAAAAAAAAAAAACTCTTAGCAAATTTTAAGGTCTTAAAATTATCCTCCCCAATCTGACCGTTTCACTCGACAGTTCAAAACAGGTTTATGCGTAGTAGTATTCTCCAAGCTTGATAATTAAGCTCCGTAGAAAAAAACACTTCGAGAAAAATATGTAGATCTAAGAACTCCAGCAGTTGATAACAACTGAAAAAGAGACAGTTTTCATTACTTTTGAGGAGAATGCTATTTGATATATACCTCAATTCAGAGATTATTTACCAAGGAGGCAATTAGATTTAAGTATCTTTCCATTTGTGACTCACCCAACAGAGGAATAAACACTCAATTATTTACGCGCGTCTTTAGGTCGATTTGCACTAAACAAATACGCTTCTGTCAGTAATCCCTCGGGGTAGGCCAAAGGTAACGATATCCCCTCCAGCCCCAAAACCATAATTTTTTGCCACCCGTGCAGTTTTTGGCAAAAAAATCATCCACAGCTTCTCGATCCATTTACTTTCTTCTCGTTTCCTTTCTTTTCTAATTGATAGTAATTAGATAGACTACTAAGAAGTTTTAAATGTACTGGTTTCGTCAATTACCGCTGTGCAGTGATAGCACCAGAAATCATTATACCAGCTGTCTACGACAGTTTTCTTTATTTTGAAATACGACATTTTCCGGGCTGCGACGCCTAATTTTTGTTTTCAGATATCACATCTTGATTTTCAAGCTGGTGTTTTATAGATTGCGAAAAGTAACGCCTAGACATTTAGATTATGGATTTAAAATTTCCCAGCACAGTGAATTAAGCACATTTTTCTCAGTATTATGTTCGAAAAAACCCTCTAGCCGCTTAAGGAGGACAGCTAATAGCGTGAGCCAGACCTTTAAAAAAAGCAACATAGATTTAAGCTTACCTGTCACATCGCCCGACGCCTGAGTGTTCACTAATGAAGCATACATGACGTCCTCTTCTATTACTCGCTAACGCGAAAATCTAAATCGAACTAAAGACGTTTACAACTGATCATTGTCTCGTCAACTCACGGAGATGAAAACGAAGAGTTTATTCCTGAGTCGGGATCGTCGTTTTTGTGTTATGTCGCACTTTCCCTCGCTGTCTGCGTTCATCGCTCTCCATCCGACAACAACGTAGGATATCTTATTTGATATGCTTAAGCGACCGCATGGTTATATTGCTAATGGAAGTCCGAGTTCATTGCTTACACTTTTGTGACGATGCACCCATTCATAAGAAGGCGCTGTCATTGGCACAAATAAAATTCATTAATACTTCTCAATTATTTATGTTTCTAAGGGGTCATTATCCCCAATAACGCTCCAACAGGTGCCGAAAGTTGGTTCACTAGTTCACTTCCGGTGATCCTCCTGGAGAATTATGGGATTGTCAAATCATTCCCAGCGAGATACGTTGGAGTCGTATCTAAAATACAAGCTATAAAAAAGCTGTTTTATCGTTTCGCGCGTTGAATCGAGATTTTAATTCTTAAAGAGAAGTCAAGCTATGTAATAAACCGAAATGTGTCATTATGCCGACATTTTTGTCGGCATAATGACACATTTCTTCAACCTCGTTCCCAGGGCCTTTCCCTTAGTTGGGGGTGGAACTAAGGGAAAAGGCCCTGGGAGCGAAGTTGACATTTTTTGGCATGCATTTGAGATTCAGCGCAACCATGATATATCACAAATGCAATACAAACGAAGAGATCAACGTCTACTCGTGTGAAAGCATAGTACAAATTTTACGTTTTAGGGTTCGTAAGTTCATAAATTTCTTCTTAAAATCTTGATGTGTCAAAACTACGTATGGAATAAGCCTGTCCGACAGACGATTTACTCAAGAATCGATTATTTGTTGTGGAAAGGATTTTTTCAGACCTCCTTCCAAACCTAAGAACCTCAGTACAAAGCGATTTTCAGTTGAACGAAAAGCACATTTAAGTCCTATGTTCGTTTTTCTCCCACGCTGTTGAAGCGGAACTTCAGTCCATCTCCGGAACTCCCTTTTCTTATTTTTATTTTTCCTCCTGTGGAGGAAAACGGAATTCGAGTGAGAGTTAACCCTCATGCTGACAACTGTTAGGGAGATTCCATTGACTGTTCATTACGGTGAGATAATAGTTGACATGGTGAAATAAAATTTATTCTAGTTACAATACCACTGATGGACACATTTTTATTGAGTAAATAAACTAAAACCAAAGTAATCACAACAGCCAATTAGAAGAGAGAAAATATCACAAAGGAGCCAATGAGAACACAAAGAAAAGAGGCAAACTGCCCAAAGGACGGGAAAACGCGAATGAACGAATCGCGATTGGCTTTGGTTCTGAATCTGATTGGTTGAGAAAATGGTGCTAATTTTCTGGACCAATCACAGCGAAGTAAAGAAACACGGAAGGAATTCAGGAGCACTTTCGGTACTCAATTATACTCTACTTAACTCTAAACCAAAGGCAGACTTGCTTTTAGTCGAATTCTCGCTTTAATGAATGAACAAACGAGTTTCTGAGTCATGATGGGAGGGCCTGGACCGAAGGACCGACACGCACAGGGACCTTGTCTTGAAAGTCTTCAAAGAAAAGAAATGAAACATTTTTCGAAGTATTAACACAAGAATAGACCAGCATTCCGTTGTTCACAAGTCGGAATACATCAGATACTGTTTTAACGAAGGCGGAACGGGCAGTTCTGGGATTCTTTGCATTCTGCCACTGCTAATTTTCTTTCTGATGACGAGCCGGCAAAAATGTTGCAGTGAACGCGGTGAACTGGTTAGCCGCTCCAGTTTGCGCCATTTCAAGTTCGCCCGCTTCGCGCGGGAATTCTCACGGCAAATCTCTTGCGAGTGCGGTCTATTTCCCTCGAATTCCAATAACAACTTATAGAGGTCTGGATTAAGAAATCTCAAGGCACTAGGGTCCTTTAAAGCTATGCAAGTTCCTTCGTGGAGCTGATCGACGCTTGCTCCGAGCTTGAGAAGAAGTTTAATGCACTCTAACTGAACTTGAAGAGACTTCTGATTATGGCCATACCCTAACCTAGTAACAGCGATGCTTAACGCTGTGTTCTTCCCTCGATCCAAAAAATTGGGATCAGCGCCGAAGTCCAACAGGATCTTACCGCAATCATAGGAAGAATTCTGCGCAGCAAGAATTAAAGGTGTGGTGTATGTCGCTCTGTTCACATCTGCACCGCGTTCCGCCAAGATTTTAACGCAATCGATGTAGTCGCCTTCAACGGAAACCATCAGTGGTGTCTTGGGCAGCATGTCTACATCTTCATAGATGTGGTTGGGATTTGCCCCGCCGTCCAAAAGCAATTTAGTGCAGTCTGCATGACCTTGACAGGCTAAACAAATTGGGGTCATGTTTCCACTGTGTGTTGGTGCGTCCACATTAACACCCGCTGATAAAAACAGCTCCATGCACTTAAGGTGACCTTCTTGACTACTAAGGTGCAAAGGAGTGATTTTCTCGGCATAAGTTTCGGCGCATGCGCTTGCTCCCGCATTCAAAAGAATCTCAATGCATTCGTAGTGCCCGCGTTCCGCAGCAGCGTGAAGCGGTGTTGCTCCATCAATAACTCTGCTTTCGGGATCTGCTCCTAGAAGAAAAAGCAAATTACTGTTGGAAAATACTCTGCTAACCTTTTCGAATGCTGAAATGAAATCAGACTGGAAACAGCTCTATTATTTTTTCATGCCAAGTTTTTTGCGAATCAAAGTCACACCAAAAACTTGTGTTGACAAAATTGAGGAAAAAAGCTACTCTCAGTACGGGGCGGAGATAATTTTTTTCCTTATCTAACTCAACGAAACGAAAAAAATGGTTGGTTTTCCTGGAACTACACTTGAGAACTTAACATCCGAACGAAAAATACAAATTCAAAATCAAATCGACTCATAAAAAGTTTAAAACAGGCTGAACCAGTCCGTAAAAGTAACATTATCTTGAAACATCATGCTGAGCCTCTAAAAGTTAGTTCCCAACTGATTTCAGTTCAGTTGCTGGATAATATTACCAATCCCTAGCAGGTGGTTTCTTAGAGCCCAACAACATGCCAACAGTATACAATGACTCTGAAAATTCCTCTAGAATCTTTTAACCTCAGTATTTATAAGTAACTTCTCCCTCAGTCAATTCCAGTTTGTTTAACTTCTAACTGGTTACCAGAACAGACAGGCTTATAAGCTAGAGGGTGTAACTTGACCACATTCGCCTGTCTAATTAACAATTGGTGAACGCCATGGCGTGTACTATTGAGTTATGGATGCACGCGGGAGGTTGCTGAGCACGAAAGAAGTGTAAGAGTCGCACGTGGCGACAGGCGGGGACACTGCAACAGCTTTGCGCCAATTACTGCGGGCCCAGTAAACCCACCCATCCCACCCCAGGGGAGGACATCCATCACACAGTAATCTCGTGTGTGGGAAATTAACGTCTCCTACCCTCCAACCCTGCAGGAGACGGGACCTCCATTTATTCATCCCTATCCGAGAAGACTAGAATAACTAACCATTTCTTGATGTTATAGAGAGGTAGCAAATTCTTCTCAATTATTTTAAGACCTTGAGTGTTGGTCCGGCCGGGGCTCGAACCCTCGACCTCCCGCATAACAGTCCAGCGCACAATCCATTGGGCTCACTTGAGTGCTTAGCAAACCTCCCAAGTGCATCCATAACTCAATAGTACATGCTATGGCGTTCACCATTTGTTTTATAACATAACACTGATACATTGGAACAAAAGTTCCATTTTATTTAACAAATCTTACGTGATCAGAAAAAAAAACAAGCGAGCGCGGAAAAATAGTCTTTGCCTTTGCTCACGTCAGCAGCGTACACCCATGGGCAAATAGTAGATGCTAAATTAACCAATCAGAGCGCGCACTTTGCTTTAGTTATATTATAATTTACAAGGACATGCAAGGAGATTTGAGGGGAGAATTACTCATTGGATCTTATGATTGACGTCTACAATCCTCTGAAAATAAGCATAACGCCTACCAGCAGTTAACAGCATGTTGATACAACCTGTCAAGCCTTCTTGGGAAGCAATAAATAATGGTGATGCCTTGTCTACAGTCAATAAACTGATATCTGCCCCCTCTTTTAATAATAACTTCAAGCAAGCATCATGTCCATATTGAGCTGCAGTAAACAAAGGTGTGGCACCATCGCTATTTTGTATGTTAATGTCTGCACCAGATGAGAGTAGTATTTTAATGAAGTCTTCACGACCAGCAAATGCTGCTTCATGCAAAGCACTCCATCCTCCAACATCCTGACTATTTACATCTAAACAACATTCTAAGAAGATCTGAAAAAGAACCAAGTGAAGGAGAAAAAAGAAGTTTACAATCATCAATTATAATACTTAAGATAGCTGTAGATTAAAAAACTCATGAACACCAACCTTACAAAGGGTGTTTGAGGTGGTCTGGTAATTTCACAATTATTTGCCAAAGGTAAAGTGAATATTGATGAATACCTTGAACTTTTGTGTTGCTTTGTCAGATCCATCAAAAGGGGTAACCATTTGATGAAATCTCATATAATTCCGTTTTTGCTATTGCACTGTAATGGAGACCAAATTAAATATGTTGGAAGTGACTAACAATTGACAAGCATCTCATTTAAGGGGAGACTAGCAATGCCCCTTTTCCTTTCAAGCTATGGAGACAGGGATAAGTTCTGCCACCTTGTGGGCACCTTGGCTTAACCCTTTGACACCCAGAGGTGATTAACATGTAACTTTTCCCTATAATATCAATAAGTTATCGAACAAACAGGTTATGAGAATACTCATAATCCAGTAGAATTTGTTATCTAAATCTGACAGCGAACTCTTGTAATTGATTTTCAGGAAATGTATAGCAGCTTAAGGGGAGAATGAACCCTTTAACTCCAAAGATCTGATTATGAATTCTCCCCTCTAGCTGCTACACATTTCCTTCTATATTTGCTATAAGAATTTGGCGTTTAATCAAGGTAACAACTTCTACTTGATAAGTTTGAGTATTCTCACTACCTGTTGCTGGATCATGTATGGATATTTTAGGGAGAAGTTACATGTTAGTCACATCTGGGAGTACAAGGGTTAAAAATTAGCTAATGGGAGTTGAAGGCCTGGTGAAGACTTTACCTTAACCATAATTAAATTATCTGTTCCCAGGTGAATCATTACCCCCGTTAAGGATTATTTTCTGTTCTTTCATTTTCTAAAAGAATTTGAGAAAAAAAAAAAAAGAAAAAAAAAAAGAAAAGAAAAAGAGCGAACCGGAAGTTAGTTTTACCGGAAGTTATGTTACTGAGTTTTGTTATTGATTGACAGTTTTAGAAATAAAGACCTGGCTTGACAGGAGGTGCGCTGACGCCATAAAAAGAAAAGAGAAAAAATCTAGTGTGGTTTTTTTCTGTTGTTTCTTTTACGAGATTTTTTAACAGGTTTGGGAGTTTGGATAGGGAAAATTTAGAAACCTAAGGAGAAACAACCCCCTTGCTTGCTTGAGAGGTATTTTAATAATCTACTTGTCTTCCTATTTTTCTAATAAAATTCGGGTTGGATTTTATTTTGTCAGTCAGTCAGACAGATAGCCAGTCACCCTGAGTCCCTGACTGTATGATGCAACACATACCTTGAAACATTCTAAGCTGCCACTTTTGACAGAAGCTACTAGTAAATTTACTTCTTCATCATTCATAACATTTACATCAGCTCCATATTCCATTAGTGTCTTAATGCATTCAATGTGACCATTCAATGATGCCAAGAAGAGAGGTGTTTCACCACTGTACGCTCTAGAATTGAGAAGATCATCATTCTTGTGTTCCAGCAAGCTCTGTAGACAACCAGAGTGTCCTGCTGCAGCTGCCTCGTGAAGAGGAAACCAACCACGATTATCTGACACATCACAGGGAGATCCTGTGATAAACACAAAGAGAACTGTTAATCTCCTTTATTCAAAAGAGTTTATGGAGAAATGGCTTTCTCACAACCATGTCTCTAATCATTTTTATAACATAACCAAAGTAAAGCGCGCGCTCTGATTGGTGAATTTAGCGTCCCCCATTTGCCCATGGGTGTACGCTGCTGACGTGAGCAAATGCAAAGACTATTTTTCCGCGCGCGCTTGTTTTTTCTGGTCACGTAAGATTTGTTAAATAAAAGGGAACTCT